CTGGTCTGCTGGGGGGGTCCAGCGGCTTTGCTGGACCCCCCCAGCAGACCAGGGAGACCAGGAGAAGCTTTTCTCGCCCCGGAGGACACGGGTGGCGAGAAAAGCCCCGTTCGTAAGTGCGGATCCGACATAAGTCGGATCCGCGTAAGTCGGGGACTGCCTGTACAAGCTTTATAGTTTGGTCCAATGGCTCTTAGCAGCCCCCTATAAAACTGTTAAAGGAGTCCTGGCCCAGTGGACATTTTGGTTGCTGCATACTTTAAAAGTTCAAACCCAGTTACTATTGCACTTTGAAGACGAATTGTTCCCCTAATATGCAATTTAGATAGATTTTTCCCCCGCTTTTTGAAAGCCAAAATAGATATCTGCTCCAAAATAGAAGAGTAGCTATGAATAATTCATAGATGCATAAAGTCCAATGACAGAAGGGACCATTGTGATCATTTAGCAAGACTTCTTGTACAACACAAGCCATAAAACTTCCCCAAAATTATTCCTTTTGAACTAGAGCATATCTTTTTCTTTAAAAAAAAATCCCATCTTGATTTAAAAATTGCCAGCAATGGAGACTCCCTCAGGATCCTCGATGGTAAAAATATATGCCTTAATCCTAGATAATTAATAACATAAAATAAGAATAATACTTAATAATGAAGTATTGTAATTCCTCGATGGTAAGGATAATTAATAACATAAAATAACAATAATACTTAATAATGAAGTATTGTAATGCAGTAAGGCATATTCTGATTTAATTCTGATGAAGTATCTTCAGGAACTCTGGTGGAGTTAAGACAGTTTTACATCCATGTAAGTAAAATCAGGGTCTGACCCAGTGGCTCTGGGCCCTATTGAATTGCCAGGCCCCAGGGAAATTGCCCCCCTTACCCAGCCCTTACTATCAGCAGGCCTGCCTAGCAATGAAAACCAGCCTTCCAGTCTCTGGGCTCCTCTACCACCTTCCAGTCTCTGGGCTCCTCTACCCTTCTCCTGGTTTGAGTCTGTCAGTCACTTTTACCTTGCCAACACGAGTCACCCATGAGCAAACAAACATAATGAATAAGAACAAGAACAAACCTAACAGAAGCAACAAACTTAGAACTGAAATCGCCCCCCCTCTCCCTTTGTTTTAATTGGATGATGCATGCCCACCTCCAGGTATGTGAGAGTAGTAAACAGCAGTGCTCAGTCTCCCTTCGTTTTAATTGGATGATGCATGCCCACCCCCAGGTGTGTGAGAGTAGTAAACAGCAGTGCTCAGAAGGTCCGTCACCTTGCATAAAATGCTGTCTGACATCAAGCTCTTTTAGTG